TCTTTTGGGAATTGGACCCCCCCAAAATGGATCCCAGTGTTCCTTTGGGTTTTCCCAAAATAAACCACAACCTAAGCATCTTGGGCCCTTTGCAAAGCTTCTCTTTTAAGGTCCAAAACCTGCAAAAATCCTGGCCCCTTCAATGGAGGCTCCTTTGTGATGCTTGGGCGCTGGGGGAGGTAAGCGCTTAAGCCCTCAATACGCCCTTAAAAGGGTATTTCTTTCACCACTCCCTCCCCTCCCTCCCTCCCTCCCTCCCTCCCTCCCTCCCTCCCTCCACCAGGCTCTCGCAAGCCACGGCGAACGGGCGAGAGTCTCGACGCCCAGGCCTCAAAGGCGCCTTTTGCCGCAGGGACGCGAGTGGGCGGCTCCTTGGGGTGCCCCCATTTTGGGTCGTTTGAAAGGGAAGCCAAAGGAAACTCCTATTTTTTGGAGGTTCCCCTAAAAAGATTAAAGTTTAGATTAAAGCGCCCGAGAGGCATGTTGCCTCCGCTTTTTTCAGAACAATGCAGGTTCAACCAGCAGCTTTAGTGTCACCGGGCTGAGGATTTTTAAATGTACAGCGCTGGTTGATGTTTCATGGTAATGGTTGCAACGCAGAGCATTAAGAGGGTATGAATTCTCAACGTGCCTAACTTGACTGTGTGCATGATTCGCCCAAACTGAATCGCAAGCTGAGAGTTTCCTACGCGCAGGTGCTTCTGGAAGCACCGTTGCCGGAGCTTTCCAGGATGCCGCTCGGTGAGCGATGGGCGCGCAGTGTTGCCAAGTGGCAGAAAGGCGGGCAATGGATATGGCGGATATGGCAAGATGTGGAATGATATTGCGCGATACATGGCACATTGCGGTTCATAGGCATCCTTTTGGATATGCTGATTTGTATGTGTGTGTGCTTGTATGTTCTGGCTTTGGATGCACGAAGGCAGCAAGTGGGGTTTTGTTTGCCTGCCTGCCTGCTGCCAATTTGCGTGGGAAATTCGGTTCCACACCAAAAAAAACTTAAGGGTGAGGCAGCTTGATGCGCCTGCTGAAAGGGGTTTGGGGTCATCTAAGCAGGAATGAGTCTTGGCCGCCAAGAGGAAAGGGCTTGAACTGGTTTTTTGGGAATATTAACTATGAAACCGCCTCTTCTGTACGAGCAAAATGCGTTGTTCTGGAGCCCAAATTCTGTTCGCATTTTGGCTAGATTGGGCTTGCAATTGCGAGTTTTCACAAAGAAAGCAGTGACCTGCAACAAATTCTGCATGGGCACATTTTTGGGGGTTTTGGCCACACACCGTCACACACTCTAGAATACAGAGCAGAACGTTTTTTTCTTAGTAGGCATTTCTCAGTGGCCGTGAGCCAACTCCGAACAAGCTCCGAACAAACTCCGAACGAACTCCGAACAAACTCCGAGCAAACTCCGGACAATCTCCGAACGAACTCCGGGCGAACTCGGAACAAACTCCGAACAAGCGAACAAGCTCCGAGCGAACTTTGGCATTTGTTGATTTCCGAACAAACCCCCGAGCCAACTCCGAACACACTTTGGTCAAACTGCTTTTTTTCGAGCTTACCAAAAGAGGTAAAGTGATTACAGGGGCCAGTTTCAACAAGTGGCCTGGGAAGGCGTTTTTGGAGGCAAACAAACATGTTCTCAGGCCACGTGTTGAAATTAGTTCTTTTGGTCACTTGATTTTCCTGTTATGCATTTTCCGGGCTGGATTTACTTCCCGGACAAGCGCCAAACAATTTTTGGCCATATTTTTCTTTGGGGTGCTGATTTTTGTGTTTTGGCCTTAAGTTTTAGTTTTTCGGCTTTGTTTTGTCTTTTTGCTCGTGTTTTTTTTCCAGGCTGTGATTTGTGCTTGATATTTTTTTCGGGGCTTAATTCTTGCCCCGAACGAACTCCGAACGAACTCCGAACGAACTTTGGCCTTAAGTTTGTTGTTGGAGCTTATTTGTTTTTTGGTGTTGAACTTTTCGGGATTTGGTCTGGGGAGCTGTTTTATTTTGTTTTTGCCTTAAGTTTTTGTTTTTCAGCTTTGTTTTGTTTTTGTTTGCTTGTTTTTGCTTTCAGGCTATGATTTGTGCTTAGTTTTTTTTGGGGGGGGGCGGGGGGCATAATTCTTGCCCCGAACGAACTCCGAACGAACTCCGAACGAACTTTGGCCTTAAGTTTTTTTTTGGCCTTAAGTTTTTTTTTGGTGTTGAACTTTTCGGGTTTTGGTCGTACAAAAACACTGGAATTACAGCTTGTTCACGCGTTTTGTCTACAAATTCAGTGTTACCAAGGTAAAAAAAACCTTGAAAAATGCTTAATCCAGGTTGTTCAGGCAAAAAAACAGCTATTTCATACGACCAAAATCGGGCAAAACCTTAAGTTCAACACCGGTGTTGAACTTAAGCTTTTTGTTTTTGGAATAAGGTTTTTTTTCCGGATTAAGCCTTGGTCAAGCAGATTAAACTTTGTTTCAGCTTCAACAGCGAGCCTCAGCGCCAACAAGCTTTTTTTTTTGGAATAAGTTTTTTTTTTCGGATTAAGCCTTGGTCAAGCAGATTAAACTTTGTTTCAGCTTCAACAGCGAGCCTCAGCGCCAACCAAGCTGCGAGATCACCCCGGTAGCGATTTTAGCCCTCCGCAGCTCTCAAGTCCTACAAATCCAGCCCTGAACGCCTTCCCAGGCCACTTGTTGAAACTGGCCCCTGTATTCACTTGGCAACTTTTGGTAATCCCGAAAAAAGCCAAAAAACAGTTTAAACCACCAAAATACTTTTGCTCAAACACGTACTTATGGCCAAAGTGTGTTCGGAGTTGGCTCGGGGGTTTGTTCGGAAATCAACCAATGACAAAGTTCGCTCGGAGCTTGTTCGCTTGTTCGGAGTTTGTTCCGAGCTCGCCCGGAGTTCGTTCGGAGTTCGTTCGGAGTTTGTCCGGAGTTTGCTCGGAGTTTGTTCGGAGTTCGTTCGGAGTTCGTTCGGAGTTCGGAGTTCGTTCGGAGTTTGTTCGGAGTTGGTTCGCGGGGAACCTGGGGCCTCTGAGAAACGCCTACCAAGAAAAACAGTTCTGCTCCGTTTTATGTAGTGTGTGGCCAAAACCCAAACAATGTGTCCATGCAGGATTTGTTGCAGGTCACTGCTTTCTTTGTGAACACTTGCAATTGCAAGCCCAATCTAGCCAAAATGCGAGCAGAATTTGGGCTCAAGAACAACGCATTTTGCTCGTACAGAAGAGGCGGTTTCATAGTTAAGTTATTCCCCAAAAGCAGTTCAAGCCCTTTCCTCTTGGCGGCCAAGACTCATTTCTGTTTAGATGACCCCAAACCCCTTTCAGCAGGCGCGTCAAGCTGTCTTACCCCTAAGGCTTAGCGCGCAGAAACGGCGGGGTCCGCTGGGAAACAAGCAAATTGATTCTTGTTTCGAGGAAACTGGCATCAATAGTACACTTTGAGGTTTGCTGCAAAATCCCTGTTTTTGTTTTTTTGGTTTTGTCAAACCCTTAAGTTTGAGTAAAAAACCATTATTCGTTTTTAGGACCTTAAAACACATAAATCCCGAACGAACTGACCTGACCCATGAAATTTGGCACTGCCTGCCTGCGTGCTTTCTTGCTTGCTTGATATTGCTTGTTTGCTTGTTTGTTTGTTTGTTTGTTTGTTTGTTTGTTTGTTTTTAATTGCTTGTTTGCTTGTTCGCTTGTTTGTTTGTTGCTGCGTCGCGTTCTATTCAGCGGCGCTACATTGCGTCGCGTTGCTTTAAGTGGCGTTGTGTCGTGTGGCGTCGAATGGTGTTGCCTTGTGTCGTGGCGTGTTGTGTTGCGTTGCGTCGTGTCCTTTGTCTGTTCTTTTGTTTTGTTTGTGTGTTGTGCTTCTTTGTGCGTGTGTGCGCGTGTGCGCGCGTGCCTCTGTGTGCATGTCTGTGTGTGTGTGTGTGTGGGTGCGTGCGTGGGTGCGTGCGTGCGTGGGTGCGTGCGTGCGTGCGTGCGTGCGTGCGTGCGTGCGTGCGTGCGTGCGTGCGTGCGTGCGTGCGTGCGTGCGTGCGTGCGTGCGTGCGTGCGTGCGTGCGTGCGTGCGTGCGTGCGTGCGTGCGTGCGTGCGTGCGTGCGTGCGTGCGTGCGTGCGTGCGTGTGTGTGTGTGTGCGTGTGTGTGTGTGTGTGTGCGTGTGTGTGTGTGTGTGTGTGTGTGTGTGTGTGTGTGTGTGTGTGTGTGTGTGGGGGTGTCTGTGTGTCTGTGTGTCTGTGTGTCTGTGCGTCTGTGCGTCTGTGTGTCTGTGCGTCTGTGTGTCTGTGTGTCTGTGTGTCTGTGTGTCTGTGTGTCTGTGTGTCTGTGTGTCTGTGTGTCTGTGTGCGTGTGTGCCTGTGCGCGTGTGCGTGTGCGTGTGCGCGTGCGTGCGTGTGCGCCTGTCTCTGTGTGTGTGTGCGTTTCTCTCTCTGTCTCTCTCTCTGTCTCTGTCTCCCTCTCTCTTTGTGCGCCCGTGTTTGTGTCCGTGCGCGTGCATGTGAGTGTGCGTGTGTTTGCGTGCGTGTGTGTTGTGGGTTGTGTGAGGCTGGGTTCGTGTGCGTGCGTCTCTGTGTCTTTGTGTGCGTGTATTCTTTCCTCCTCTTGTCTTCTCGCGATCAGCAACCGTCAAAGGCCCAGACCGGATGATTTTCCTGGACTTGGATTGGAGGAGATGGATTGACAGCCCGCGGTGAACGCGCGTCGGGCTGGCAATCGCGCCTAGATGCGAGCATCGACACGGTACGGCAAGCCGCTGATGGAGCGAAGTGTTGTGTTTTGCCAAAACGTGAACAACGCTTCCACTTGAAGGAGGGCAGAAGGTGAGCAAAGAGCACACCTCGACCTGCGGATAGAAGCGAGCCGGCGGATAGAAGCGCGCGACCAAAAGGGCAGATCACCGCCAGTTCCTGTTTTCTGGGAAAGTAGGCGCTGCAATGGGGTCAGAATCCAAGAAGGACATTGGCGTTTGGCTGGCAGGTAGGCCTTGCTTGCCTGCCAACTTGTTTGCTTGAGCCCAGGTCCTTTCACATCTCTGTGGCAGTGAGGACTTGGTTTGGAGGCTCCGACAAGTCACCGTCCCCACCCGACAAGCCCAGTGAATGCGCAGTTGCAACCGCTGGGCAGACTTGAACTAGATCGAGTGCGAGCGTTGCTTGGCCTAGAACCCCATGTCCCGGGCCAGTCTCTCGCAGGTGCCCTGCTGCTGGTACACCACTTCCTGGGAGGGCCTGGGAAGGTGACCATTCTGCTCGCGGACGAGGGCGAGGATCGGCGATGGTTCACGTAGCGTGGTGCGCCGAAGCCAAAACATGGCAGGAACGTTGGGCATTGTGATGCATTGTGCCTCTTTCCCAACGCATGATTGGCAGTCAGCAAGCCTCACAATGAGAAGCAGGACTCAGCTGCTTCTTCGGGGCCGCTTCTTTGTGGCCAGTAGTTGTGACAACCCATGGACTTGGATGAGTGAGCAAAGTGAAGCGCCTGGGTTTTGGGTTGCATGAGGTTTGGAAGTATACCCTTCCCACTGACATGGTACTAGGGATCCTTGGTCAGAGTGCTAGGTTAGTGGGAGGTAGCCGGTTTCACTCGGGGACTCGCTTTCCACCATTGCCAGGCCCCGGTCTTTGCCGAGCTACCGCGCAGGGCCAGGTACGGAGGCCCGGCCAAAAGGGTTGACCTGGGCTGGGTGCCTGCAAAACCGCCGGGCAGCCGGGTGTGATGTCCTTGTTCGACAAAACACGAAGGAAAACCCAGCAAGACGATAAGGAGTAAACAAAACGATACCCTCGCACCAAGTAACATGAAACCCCTGACAGGGGGTTCCTTTAAAGAGAAAATGGTCTTCCAGGACGACACTTGGTACGAAATATGTGCTGCACACGTGATCGAGGAGGCCCAATCGGGCCTCAAACACTCTGCGCACGACACTTGTACTTAAAAGTTGCGACTTTGGGGCGGGAGCTGCCAAAATGTACTTTGCGTCATACACATGCAGCTAAGAAGTTGTGACTTTTGAGCCGGAGCTGCCAAAGTGTGCTTGGCGTGCGATCGAGACTAAGAGAAGCCGTTCTTTCAAGCAGGCTTTTCGCTTCCAGCAAGCAGTCGGCAAATTTCGATTCGCCTATAACATATTTATTATATTGATGGACATATCACACGCATAGGATTTTGACTGGACAGCCACTGTAACTGATTGAGATATTTTCACGAAAGAGACGCGCAGTTACAGCAAACAACACATTCTGTGAAACGCAAGATAAGAATATTTGCAAAGCAACCTCCGGTTGGCATGAGTCTCCTGTGCGACATGCTGCTTACTGTAAGCCTTTTCTTGTGCTGCGTGAAAATGTTGAATCCACGAGGTCGCGGCTCATTGCAACGGGTCACGTCTAATTAGTTGCTTTACCGCACAGAATTCTCCGGATGGAGATGCATTCTGACTTTCAGTAGCTGACTGCCAAGCCAGGCAACCACGGCGGCTTTGGTGTGCAGCGTCGTCTGGGGAAGATGAGCAGGCTGGCCACGAGTTTGGGACAACATCCACATTGACATGATTGCTACATACGGAATGGTCCCGATGCCAGGTTCAGCACCCGAACACACGACCACTGTGTAATGCAATCGACACATGTTGCGCAAGTTCTGTAGAATGGGCCATGGGGCAGCAATACTAATGCGGCTTCGCTGGTGTACCACATCACATGCGAAGCTTTGTTGGCGAAAGGAGTCGACATGAGTTGCCTCCAGAGAAGTCAACAGCTAGCTGCAAGCTGCTTGACTTCCGATGAACGAGACATGTTATTTGCAGCTCAGCTGGGCAGCTTTCTGATTTGCGATTGCAGCTTTGCATGTGTGAACCTGAAAGTTGATGGTCTTGAGAATATGGGGTTCTGGGCTTCAGTAACTTCATGCTACCGCGTCTCTAACCAATTTGTAGATCCCCGTCCAAGGGAAGCTCCTGAACCCCCCCTCGCACGAAGGCTAAATAGCACCAATACCAAGATGTCCAATGTCCTCACCGCGCGAAAGAAGGTGTGGGTGGATTTGGATTCACCCTTAGATTCTCAATCCAGTTACTTCTCCAAGAAATGGATAGAAAATGGTTCATTTCTTCCTAACGCAAACTGACAGAATTGCAGATATCAAGACATTATTTCAATGTGTCAGGCATCAGGCACGAGAATGGACAGAGGACTACCCCAACATCCGTCAGAACGATGGCCATGCTGAGTGAAGGTTTGGTTTTCTTGGCCATGCCCACAGTAATGCCCAGTTTGTTGCAGGCTATGCACCTGGCTGTGCGCATCTGAGCTTGCTCTCCAACGAAATTGACATTGATCGCATGCATGTGCAACGCGTGAGAGTGTGAGACTTGGCACGTTGATTGCCGAGTTATTGAGTTTGGGCTGGTTGCATCAGCAGGGATATTGTTTTGTGGTTTGGCAGAGGAAAGAGTGGGCTGCCTTGTTAGAACGCGTTTTGCTGTCCGGCATGGGCAGGCTTGGTGTAGCAATCATAAACAGGCACAAACTCGAAGCATCGACAGCTTGGCTCAGGTCAGGCCCAAGCAAGGTCGTGCTTCGCATTTTTTGTTTGCGAGCCACCTTGCCCATTTGCATGCTTGCAAGAATGACACTAAGACTGCAGTTGCACGCTTGCTTGCGTGTGGATGACATGTTTATGTTTGAGACAGCAACACTTGTTTCTCAAACGAGAAGTGTGTTGCGTGTGTGTTGCGTGTGTGTGTGTGTGTGTGTGTGTGTGTGTGTGTGTGTGTGTGTGTGTGTGTGTGTGTGTGTGTGTGTGTGTGTCTGTGTGTGTCTGTGTGTGTGTGTGTGCGATGCAGCTGGTCTTGATGCCAGACATGTTGGCGCGTGCCGCAATTTCGAGTGGCGACTCGCACGTCGCACATGTTCTACAGCCAAGGTCGGATGTTCCTCCGCTTTGGCTATCTACTGCCTCAGGCTGCGTTGGATGGGTAGGCTACATGGGAATGCTGTCAGTTGCCAGCGTTCCGCACGTTTGCTTCAGCTTGCAACGAGCAGCTTGTTGCGAGTGAATGTGTCCACATTTTGGGGCTTCTTGCAAAGGACAGTGCATTGCGGACGCTGCCACACCTGAATCACTCTGCATGGCCGCAAAGGGGACTGATCGCAATGTATGAATTGGTGATCTTCCAACCCCAAGCCCGACTCAGCTGCAACTGAGCTAGTGACAACTTCCAGCACGTGCCTCGTTCGGTTTTCAGATCCTTTCCGCATTAAACTGCAGAACATGCGTTGTATGCTGCTTGGCCGACGCCAGGTGCTCGGAGTTTCGGCCGTGGTGCTCGGAGCTCAAACAAATGCGGCCCTGCTCGAAGCATTTGTTTTCTCAATAACCCAAGCTTTCGACCAATTTGGTTTTCCCAGTTCGGCGACCATTCTTTTACAGTCCTAAAAGGTGAGATCGCCTTTTTTCTTCTGTGTCAACTGATTGTACTGGTCCTGGGTTGAGTCTTGGGATGGACCTGTCATATATAACTTTGTGGGCAAGTGCTTGATGTTACTTGTCCTTTGGGGCCCGCGTGAATTTTTGGATGGCACTTGGCGCGTCTCCCCCCCGCTGCCGCTGAGGTGTGGGGCTTCCCCAGCATCGGCATGGATCACGGCCGTGGCTCCGACTACGACTGCAGCGGCAGCTTTTGCTTCGGCCTGCGGCGATGGGGAGCTGCCGGGAATCTCCAGTGGGGTGAGGCTGGGGATGTACCTTTTAAGGGGCCCCGTCCCCAAAAAGGGTGGCTTTCCCGCGTCCTTTTTTTGAAACCGCCAAGAAATGGGGGCTCAAGCCTTTTTTCGTTTTCACAGTTCCACTTTTCACTTTCCAGTTCAATGAACGGATGCAGATTTGGACTCGAGAGTCGCTTCAATGATTGCGTCTTGCGTTCCGTTTTTGTTGAATCCAAAGCCGTGGCTTGGGGACGCCCCAAACCTCTGAGTGCGTCTTGTGGAAATCGGAGCCACCCTTCCCACAAAGGCATCTGGAAGGTACCTAGATCAGATTCCTCTTAAAGGGACCCCTGTCAGGAGTGAAGAAAACACACGCCGTTTTTTTGCGCCAGCGTTTCCCTGGGCCAAGGCCGGGCGCGTCGCCACGCTGCGACCAGCCCTGGACCTGCCAGCGCCAGAAGTCCGCGGTGCGAAATCCGTGCGGCTGCTGCTAGTGCAGCGCAGTGGCCTCAGACGTGGATGGGCTATGGATCCCCTGGGGTTCAAATGCCCCCAGTAGAATGGCCTTGGGACCCAATTTGGATCAACATCCTGAACGGGAAAACTAACGGATTGGTTGTATTAACCCCATTGTTTGTGGGCATGGATTCTAATGGTCCAAACCGTTTCTCATGGGTCCAAGCCGTTTCCGAGACATTTCCATGGGTGTCCCCCTGAATCTTCCTCAAAGAGATGGCTCGAGGCTCGCAGCGCCTGTCCCGGCGCATTGTGGGCGCCGAGATGGTGGTGCCCTGGCAAACTTGGGCACAGAAATGCATAGTGCAAAAGGGAAAGATGTTCATGATGTGTACCCTCCCAACAATTAACATGGAACCTGACAGGGAGTCTTTCTAAAAGGAAAATCGTCTTTCAGGACCCCCTCCTGTCAGGTTTCATGTTACTTGGTGGGAGGGTAACTAGTCCATGAAAACGCGCTAGATGGCTTCATCGAAGGACTGCAGCATGGGTGTTCTTCGGCCATGGCTGGGAATGGGATTCGGATGAAGACTACAATCAACAACATCCACTTTGTGGAGTGCCGATATCTTGTACAAAACAGTTTCCGGAAAGCTTGCAGATTGGTTTCTAGCCATGGCGACTCTTTGGCTCTGTATTTAGATGCTCCTTGTTGTTTTGCAGCTGTGACTGCGTGCGTGCGTAAGGCATCAGCATGGAGAGGGGCGCGCAGCACTAAGCTGACGCGGCAGTTCAAAGATGCCAGAGTCGTGGTTGTGTTTCAGGGATGCCAAACAAAATCTACAGTGTTTAGAGTACAGTTTGTTGGCCCCATCCGTGTTGGCCTAATTTGTGTCTGTCTTTGAGGGTACCCCTTTTTCTTTGGTGGCTTCAAAGGGAAACCAAAAGGAGAACCGAAATCATCCGAAATTCATTTTGGGGGGATTCATTTAGGGCAACCATTTATCTAGGGGTTGATTCTCCATTCTTTTCAACCATCGTTCTTGTCAAAACCCAGCTCTTTCCCTGGATTTTTGATGGTTTCCTGAAAAGACTCGGATCCCTGGAAAGAATGGAAATGGGGCAGGTGCCCCCAGAATCTCCGGTTCTTTTTGGGGGCTCCCCCCAAAAAACCGGAGAAACAAAAAAAGCCGGGGGCCCCCCGGCTTCACCGCTCGCCTTCTTAGGCAGCGGGCGCTGCGGCTGGAGCTCTGGCGCCCGGAGGTGCAGAGCCTCGCGGCGCAGGCGGGGCCCGCGGTGGACGGAGGGCGCGGCTCGCTCGAAGTGAGACGATCGGAGGGGCGAAAAGTTCCGCGGGTTTTGGTGTCAACATGTGTCCACAGGGCGACCCATTTTGGCGTTCCGGGCTTTTTTTTGAGCAGCCCTTAATAGATTTTTCATTTCCCCCTGTGGGTTTAAACTGGAGTTTGTCACTACTGAAAATACAAAAAAACAGGGGGCTTAAGCAAATGGAAGATGAAAGGCCTAACTGGGTGTGGTTTTATACGCGTTGGGCTGATTCCATAGGTTGTTGGAAAGAGTTTGAGTCTGAGTGAAATGAAATGCGCAATTCTGTGCTTGAGCAAGGCACAGCGATTGGCTGGAGCTGACATACTGGCAGCAGTCACTGGACAGGCTGGAAACCAGACAGCTTGGGGAAGGAATCCATGCTGTTCATGCAGAGTCAGCAGCAAAATTACCGTCATGTACTTTATATAGGGGTGTTTCATGCACGTGTTGTTGTTTCGTTTTTGATCGAAAAACGATACGGGACGTCCAAAAAAACGATACCCCTTAAGGTATTGGTTGCAAACAAACATGTCTTGTCAGTTTGTGTGTTCTCCTAGAGCATGTGTTTGTTTGCTTGGTCGAGACTTGCAACTAGGCCCTTCCATTGCAAGGGTTGCAGGGCAGGGGGATCAAAAGGGATCTTCACATTTGGAGCACCAGATGGCTTGTGACAAGACGTGTGTGGCAAAAACAAGCTGTGCTTGAACGGGGGCGAATGTTTCTAGCATGTGTCCACCACATTGCAGGGGTAACTGCCGGCCAGGAGGAAGCATTACGAGTTGTAGTTGGGCAAAAGTCTTTCTTCTAGCGTTTTCGTTTCTGAAAGGATGTAACTGTAGTTCTCCGTTCAGTCAAGGAAGTTTAGAAGGGGTGTAGCTGCAGTTCTCCGTTTGGCCAAGGAAGTTTAGAAATCTTGCGCACTGCTGGAACTAATTGAGCGAGCTCTTTCGAAGAATGCGTGCATCTGCGCGTGATCTTTAAGACTAGATGCTCTGCGCGTGAAAAAGCTACGAAAAAAGCTGGAAAGCGCGAGAGCTGGGAGATGGAGCAACCATAGACGGAAACCAAGACTGCAGCTATGTATTCTGAGGATGTCCCGCTGTTTTGCCCTCTTGCTGGCCAAGCAAGGTGTTTGGGAGGTCACCTTTCTTCGGCCGCAAGCAAACTGCAGGACTGCATTTTGCACGCTCCAGCGCTTCTCTGAGGCTCCTTGTCAAACAGCGCCGCTTTCCAGAAAAAAAACCGGCCACCAAAACGATACCCCAAAACGATACCCCGACGATACCCCCGCAATGGGCCAGGAGGCTACATGTAGGGGGTGGTCCATTTGACACCCAAACGCTACCCCTGCAGCTAACACATTTGCGGGTGGCTTGGGAAAGAACTGCAATGCTGGAGAGGGCAAGGACTGCAATGCCAGGATCGCAGGCGTGCAGCCGGACGCAGCAGTGCTGAGCTGACAAAGGAAGAATCACGATAGGTTGGAGGAGTGCGTGTGGAAGGAGAAGCGGGAAGCTTTGACCCAGGAGGGGCAGCGTGTTCGCATAGAGAGAGCTGCCTCGGCTCCAAAGGCAGCCGAAGTGCGCGGAATCGCCGCAAGCAATTGCCAAGGTGTTTGCGAAGAGCGCCCGCAAGAAGGTGAAGACGACCACCACGGTGACGAAGTCGGCCTCTCGGCTCCGGCGCCGGCGGCGCCGTGGGGGCGTGACAAGCATCTTTGGACGCAGCCTCGTCCTTTCTCCTCAAGCGGCTGCACGTGTGCCCTGGGTTTGAAGCGAACAACCCCAGCTCCAGCAGCCAAGCGGGGGACTACATTGACGCAACAGTGCGTGAGTTTGGCGGCACGCCTGAAACTGCCTCGAGACTGGGATTTAGCATGGGGCGCACTCGCTGGACAAAGGCAGGACTTGAGGGAGGCAACGATGAGAGAAAGCGTGGCAGACCCAGCAAGCAAGGGAGCGCTGATGGAGAAGGCGCAAAACTAGGCAAAGACAGGCGGCGCGACGCTGTGTCAAGCGCAAGTTCCTCCTCCTCGAGCTTCAACTCAAGCTCTGAGGGAGACTAAAAGGAATCTGCTGCCCGTGGTGTGATTTGCTTTGCTTGCAGGGATTGCTCTTTGGCCGCCGTGTGGTTTGATACCACGGAACGCCCGCTTGTGAGAGCTTCCATTCCGTTGCTGTTACGTTGGCGCTACCCCCGCAAAGAACCGTTTGGTAGCAAGCAAGGGGGCAGGGATGTGTCCCTTCGCCACGGCCTGCAAAACGATACGGGACGTCCTCTTTAAGCAAAGCCTGTAAAACGATACGGGACGTCCTAGCACCGAATGAATACAACCCAGACAAGTAATTTTGACGCTGTCTCAGGATTCGAGATAGGTTGGCATGCCCAGGGCAGCAGGGACCCAGGCTTGATCCCCGAATAGTTCAGTGGCCGAGCGCTTATGTGAGGCCTGTGGGCTGGGCATCTTCCTGCGCAGGGGCAGGGTGCTCCTTGAGGCGGGATGGCACAAGTTTGGGTGCAGTGGGCACGGAAGCTGGGGCTGTGCTGCGCAGTTCACGCCTGCCATCGACAGCTCCTATGGCTGTCGCTGGGGATGGGCATACCTGGCCTGATTTCTCACGCTTAAGGAGGCTTTGTGTGGCATAGTTGTGCAGTGACAGATGCAGAGCGACTTGTGAGCAGCAGAGAAACTGGCACAAGGCTGCCACTACAGGCACGTGCGCACTCATGGGCAATGTAATGTCGACACATGGAGACGCAGACATGCAGACAACAGGACTTCATCTCTGTTTTTCCACGGCGTGAACTTTTCGCGGAAGCTTTGTTGGAAGCTCGCGTTGCTCATGATAAGCCCTCAGATAACTATCGGGCGGTCCGGGCACATGTTGTTGATTTTTGCGTGCTCTGTGCGTGTGGGTGTTGAGTTGTGCTGTGGCTTGCAATGTGTGTTTGTGTGCATTGCACATATTTGTTTGCGTGTGTGTGTGTGTCCTGTACGTCTTGCGGTGCTCACGGTACGATATAATGTGTCCTGTATTGCATCTTATGTTGCATGGTGCTGTTTCGCCACAGAACTTGCATTTTATCAGTTGTGTGGCGTGATACTTTGTGATCTGGGCTGCATTCTGCATTATGCCTTGGAATTAAGGTGTCTTGTGCGATATGTTGTCCTGCCTTGCCTACTTCATACTTGCTGTGCTGAATATCTCGCTTAGGTAGTGTCTCCTGTGTTTTGCAACCTTTTGTGACACACGGTGCACGGTCAGCGCACATCCCACACACGACTTCGAATCCACATACAAACACGCAACGGAACAATCAAGCACAAACCTAGCACATACAATTCACCGCACCACCCACACGCCCCTGACATGTTATGTCCGGCCAGGACATGAATCCAACCAGCGAGGCGAGATTGCAATTGGGGCTGTAGCAACTGCCAACTACTTGGACTGCAGAGCGTAGACGACGGCATGCTGTTTCACGTTCAACGGATTGCAACAGCGACAGCTGGCAGGTAGGGCAAATCGCTCGCCTCGGTGAGCTTCATCACCACTGTGTTTGCAGCTCAAAGCGGAACCTTCGGGTCGGTTTTTGGCGAGGTTGCAGTTCACAGCTCTCACCTCATGTTTTTTGAGGTGCTTCTTTTTTTGACACAAATCCAGTCTGCCCAACACTCTTTTAGTTCATCACCTGAGATCTCCCACATATGGGTGTGTTTCTAAAAGGTGGACCCCAAAAAAGGGTGGTTGTCGTTTTTGGTTTCTCTTTAAGGCCACCGCAATCATGGCACCCTCAAAATACTGGATGTAGTTTACAGAGGCAAGCAAAGGCTCGTACAGGCTAGGGTTGTCGGCTCGTCCGCATGTCGATGTTGTGTTGCATTATTTATATTGCATTCTTTATAGGTTTGTTGCGAGAAATCCAGCTTTTGCTGAGCAGGGCCGAGGGCTATCTCAAGCGGACAGTTGTTACTTTAGAGCCTCCGGCTCAGTCCGCCGACATTGTCCTCTCCCTTTTCTCCTTCTTCCCTCTCCCTTGTCTCCCTCGTGCGTTCTGTCGTCCTCTCTCCCTCCCTCTGCTCCCCATTCTCCCCATCCCCCCAAGCCTCTCTCTCCTCAATCTCCCACTCTCTCTCTCTCGCTGTCTCTGTTTCTCTGTCTCTTTCTGTCTCCCTGTCTCCTTCCTGTCCACGCCCCTCTACAGAAAAAGGGCACCCTAATTCGAACCTCTCTACTCTCTCACTTTCTCGCTCTTTCTCTTTCTCTTTCTCTTTCTCTTTCTCTCTCTCTCTCTCTCTCTCTCTCTCTCTCTGTCTTTCTGTGTCTCTCTTTCTCAGTCTCCGTCTTTCTCTCTCTCGCTGTCTCTCTCTCTGTCTGTCTCTTTCTCTGTTTCTCTGATTCTGGCTCTGTCTGTGGCTCTGTCTCTCTCTCTCTCTTTCTGTCTCTCTCTCTGTCTCTCTCCCGCTCTCTCTCTCTCTCTCTCTCTCTCTCTCTCTCTCTCTCTCTCTCTGTCTCTCTCTCTCTCTCTCTCTCTCTCTCTCTCTCTCTCTGCATTGCAGCGTCACGTCCCCCCCCCGAGTTGCCTCGATGTCCGGGCACTGCCCCTGCATGACCCTGAACTGTCATCTCACTACTGGCTTTCCCCCTTCATGTCCTTGTCACGTTTCCCATGATGTCCTGGTCCTGTCCCTTCCATGCCATTCAGCCCCCCCTTCATGTCCCTGACATTTTCTCGGTATGTCCTCTTCATTTGCCATGTATGTCCCGTTCTTTCGCTGCGAGTCATTTCCCTACATCTCCCGTCGTGCTTGGTTTCCTTGTGCTTTGTTTCCTCTCCTTCCCCCTGCACTCCCCTTGTTTTCATTTCTGTCCCTTGCATGTCCCTTTCAGTTCCCCTTTGTTTCCCTTTCATGTCCCGCTGCTTTCCTGTCATGTCGACTTCCTATTTCCTCCCCTCATTTCACTTGCACTTCCTTTTCCCCTCTGCTCCCCAATATTTCCAAAAACACAGAGTTTTTCCAGATTTTCTGCAAAAGGAAGCAGGAACCCCAAACCAGCAAAGAGCCGGCAGGGGGAATCGAGCCTGGGACCCCTGTTTTGCGACACCGGCTCCCCGAAGACTACGTTTAGTGGAACGTCATCAAATTGCCGCGCGGTCCTCCCCCCCACGTATCAGACGTCGGGCGGGGGGGGGGTTAGGGGGGGGGGGTTATCCTCTATCCTCTCTTAGGTGTCCGACACGCCGAGCAATGTCGGCGGACATGTTCTTCCTTCGGGGAATGAGCAAGTGGCAATGATCTTGACAGTTGTTTGTTCATTTCTGTATGAAAGAGAGTCCGAGAATTTGCACGTCAATCTTGATATATGCAGGCTAGCAAGCATGGCAGGCACTCCTGCTAAGCGGCAGCGTGGGCAATATCGTTGCAAACAAATTCGTGAAATGAGTAGGCGCCACTTTGTCCGCTTGATATCCATGTTTTTGGATCGAATTCTGCAGGCCATGTCATTTTGAGTGCGCCCTTGTTTTTTTTGAGGGGGGCTTTCAAGGGAAGGCCATTTTAGAGAAAGCCGCGGGTTTGGGTGTTTTTTGTCCGAACAAAACTCGACACACCCAACCGGCAAGGTCATGGCTCGACCATTGGGAGTCGCAGCCAACACCCCGGCAGATGCGCGGAGGTTGGGGCGCTCGGATCGGGACCCGAGTGCGGTTGCAGATGAACGAGTGGATTCTTAAACCATGTTTGGCATGACCTTGGCCTCATGTTTGCGTCTTGCTTTTTTTTGTGGGCCGGGGGGGGGGGGGCATGTTTGGCATGCCGATTGCAAACTGATGCAGCGACTTGCGACTCGCTGGATCACCATGTCGCTCTCCCATGATCTCCACGCTTTGAATCATCAAGCACCGTGCTGAGCGGTAGTTTCAAAGGCACTGCGATTTCCATCGAGTTCTGGTGCACTGCATGGTCAGACGTGCATAGACGTGCAAGTCGCAAAGCCTCATGACGCACATGACACGGAAGCGCGATCAATCAAGGCTAGTCAGAGTAGTCAGACTAGTCATGACCGCTCAGAATGAAGCACAAAGGAGGCTTGTTTGGTCATGCTTTGGTTCATTTGAAGCTTGCATGAAGTGAAGGATTTGCGGACAGTCGACACCATCCTTGAACGTTGTTTGTTTGAGGTCAGCTGAGCTGGCACTTCAGAGTCGCTCATCAGGACGCAGCAATTGGCTGATGTTGTTGCCTTGGAAAGCACACAGATCCCTACTGGACATGGTTTTCGGCAGGGAAAGGGCACAACACCAGTATGTTCCCATGAAAAACATTGCACGTTGCTGCCTTGTACGCGGCACACTCGTGATTGGCAGCGAGCCTGGCTAGAAGCACCTGGAAGAACAATCAATCACTGACCGAAATAGGCCACCAGGCCAGCCCACTGTATGTACGTTACAGCAAGCCCTCAACCATATTTCTATACTCAGCAGGCAGTGTTACATCGAATTCTCTGGACTGACACCGTCGCAAAAAACGCGAACACTAACTCATCTTGACAGGTTTTTGTTCTCGTCAATGTGACTTTCAGCTACTTTCACCACCACCACCACCACCGCCACCACCAGATGTTTCAATCGGGTGGTCATTACCTCCAGCGAGATTTTCTCTCCCGGCGGATGCAGCATGGGCACCTGGGAGGTGATTTCTGGGGCGGAGAAGGGGATCTTGGTGCGCGAGGGCTGTGACTTGAAGTCCCCGGAGCTGCCTTCACGCCTCGCACAAGGCCCTCCTTCCTGACCTTGAAATGGGGCTGTCGTTGTTTTGGAGTTGGTACTTCTTCTTCTTCTTTCTTCTTCTTTTTTTTTTGGGGGGGGGTGGGACTTTTTTTGTGGAGGAAGAATCAAAAGGACAACAAAAATGTGGGGTTCTCCCAAAATAAGAGAGAACCAGATCTGGTTGAGCCATGGGCCATAGGGCTTCCCCCTGGATGGTGTCCTGTTAAGCTTTCCTGCCACAAAACGAAAATGCACACACGTGGGGTCCATCTTTGGTTTACCCAAAAGCGACACCTGCTGGGTAAGATTTGCTCAAACCCATGTTTCATCTACTCAAAAGGGACAAAAAAGGGGGATGAGGTCTTCGTTTTTTTTCTCCTGTTCCCCCCCCCCTCGCCCCGCCTCCGCCCGCCAACCCCCTCGAAAGGCGCGCTTGGTGCAGCAGCTGCGCTGGCGGGCTTTAGTTCCACTTTCGGGAAGCTCCAGGGGAGGGCCCCAAAGCTGCTGGGTGTCCCTTTCCTGCACACACGGGCCTGGGAGCTCATGAACCAAGGCTAAACTGGGATTCATGAGCTTTGAGGAGGTTGGGGGTTGGGGTTGGAGTTCAGGGTGAGTTTTTGAAGACTAGCAGAAGCCAAGAGACGTTAGTGAAGACTACTGCACGTGTTTGACTTGCTTTGGGACTCGATATCTTTTGCTATTCGTCGAAACACGCGGACTTTGGAGGGATCCGCAACGGAGCGCAAGCACACCAACCATACTCAACCACATGCGGATGCAACAAATTATGGCAAGCACACCAACCATACTCAACCACAAAGCCCATGGTAGATCACAAAAAACTAGAGGGGGTTCGACTTATTCATAGGTACTCCATGCTTGTCAGCCTGGGACGACTGAACAAGGTTGGATGAAAATGAAGCCATGGCTTCCACCGCATAGATGTAAATACTCGGGGTCCCATGAGTTGCAACTGGCGTCGGGGCTTTTGTGACTTCGCGGCGTTTCCTTTCCTGTCCTTGTGCTTTGGAGGTTTCTATCGTTGGTCCCTGGTTGAAGTACTGTGGGTGTTTCTCAAAATTGGGGATCCTGGACCTAGCATGTTTCCTTGTGGTTTCCTTTTAGAAAACTAACCAAAACGGGGGGTCCCCTCTTTCGAGACACACCGATGTGTGTGTGTGTGTGTGTGTGTGTGTGTGTGTGTGTGTGTGTGTGTGTGTGTGTGTGTGTGTGTGTGTGTGTGTGTGTGTGTGTGTGTGTGTGTGTGTGTGTGTGTGTGTGTGTGTGTGTGTGTGTGTGTGCGTGCGTGCGCGCGTGCGTGCGCAGTGCATATGTGCGTGCGTGCGTATGTCCCGTATGTATGTATGTACGTATGCATGCGCATATAAGGGGCATAAGGGTATATGTGCGTGCGTGCGTGTGCGCGCGGGTGTGCGTGTGTGTGTGTGTGTGTGTGTGTGTGTGTGTGTGTGTGTGTGTGTGTGTGTGTGTGTGTGTGTGTGTGTGTGTGTGTGTGTGTGTGTGTGTGTGTGTGTGTGTGTGTGTGTGTGTGTGTGTGTGTGTGTGTGTGTGTGTTTTTGGGGGTTTCCTTTTTAAAAGCCATCCAAAACGGGGGGGGTCCGATCTTTCCTGAGTCTGCACATCCGTGGCAAGGACAAGGCTCTGTTGGCGCCCAAAGCAACGCCGGCAGCCGCCCCCGAGTCGCCCTCGGAGGCGTTGCTTTGGGCGCTTCGGCCCACGGCGAGCGCGGAGGAGGCCGAGGCGGCGATGCCCAGGCGCTGGGGAGGGAAGATCCCATGGGAAAATGGGACGCTGTCAAAAAATTGGGCCATCTTTCAGGGAAACCAACTAGCAGGGATACAGGGCGAACCAGGGATACGGGAGGATTCCCCCTAAATGCACCTTGACTAGGTTTGATATGGGAAATGGGACCAGGGGGTCGTTTTGCCAGTCGTGGAAAAATGATCGACCCCCTCGTGGCGAAGGATTTGTTTTGGAGGGGGTCGCCCATTTTTCTCACAAAAGGTGGCAAAAGACCCCCCTGAATGGGACGCTGTCGAAAAGATGGGGCCACCTTTGGCATTGTGTCGCCTTCTAAATGTGGGGCGGTTCTTATAAGTCCCCAACTTGTTTGGACATACTCATGAGGAACTGCCGTTTTGTTTCTGCGGTATGTGTTGATGTAACGTGACGTTGCGATCAGCTCAATCGCCTTCTGATTGTACTTCTGGAGCCATTTCAGCTCCTTCGGAACTTCGTTTTGAGGATAGAAACAGCTGAAAGGGATGTGGGTCTGGCTCAAAATTAGACAGGAGGGGCAAACCGCAGGTTTTGGTTTCCATGTTTCTACTTACCAGGGCAACCCATTTTGGAATTCCGGTTTTTTGAGCCACAGCCATGTGGAAGAACGACTGACTCAGATCGAACCACAGAGCAACCGCCGCCGATAGGCTGGGGCCGCTGGCGCGGGGCCTGGTGCACTGGCGGTGGAGCCGCCTGCAGCAAGCCGAGAAGGAGCCGGGTAGGAAAAGCCGGGGAGCTGCCAGCGTGTGATGTGTCGCCCTCCCTTGCGGCATGGCATTTGACAGGTGTTTTTTGGAGCCAGGTACTTTCTCAGAAATGCTATGTGAGTGGATGTGTGTCCCTTGGACCGCCGTCACTTCCAAGTCTACACCTCAACTAATCATCAGGCACGGAGTTCCATTTTTGTCTACTCCAAGGTGGACTTAAAGCAAGGGGGTCCCCCCTTTGGGGAAATCAACCACCCCCCGGGGTTTCAGTCAACCTTGGGGTCAAATAATATGGAAACCTGAACATGTTCAATGATTTGGGTTTCTACCTTTTATACACATCTTTGCCCGAAACGGCTGTTTCTCAAAAGTGGCCCCTTTTTTTTGTTGGTGAATGAAGCGAGACCGAACAGTTCAACCATTTAGGGACCACTCAAAATTCGAGAAGCACCCAAAATTCTTGGTTGCATTTGCCCCCCCCGTTCCCAAGGTCGCGTTCTTCAAATGGGTACGGGTCAAAATTACACCAGGACACCGCAGGTTTTAGTCGTTGCCTCCATTTACTCGGGGGTTCCATTTGGGGTACCCATTTTTGACCCACCAAAATGGGCAGAATGTGACAGGATCTAGACGAGGCAGTAAAGCAGGAGGCGCCCGGCGCGAGCTCCGCCCTGCTGGCCTTCCAGCTCTGCATGTCTCGTTTCCCTTCGGCGCTGCGTGCGGCGGAGGATGCGGAGGTGCCGAGGTTGGTGGATCAGTGGCACCAGGAGGCGGAGAAGTTGTCCTCCCTGTTCTTCCCCTGTCAGCGTGAAGCCACGAAGGGCCACAAGGACAGGCGGCGATGTGCTTTTTTTGGAGCTGAACTCGACGTTTGGGGGAAATGTGTATGGGTCAGAATCCAAATCGTAGCGCCAGTGAACATCCCAATCCAACCACTAAACTAGCTTCTAAAATGGGTGGTGCACCTACCCCAAAATGGGATCTCATTGGTTTTGACCCACAGCCAAATGATGATTGCTCCCACACAGCAAAAAGCTAGAAGCTTTGCACATCTTGTTTTGTGCCATCCAGGAGATCTTTAAAGACCTGCGACAAACGGACATGCTCCTCAAGACCAACGGGGAGGTCCTTGGCTTGCGGCTGTTGATGCAGTGCCAGCAGGGTGAACCCATCACGAGCTATCCACTGGTACTGATGCTTCTCACTCGAATTGAATTCGCGAGATAGGCGACCCATGACCTCCATGCCATGGTTTGGAGAATAAGCACGAGCAGTTTGGCGGACCAATTGGGTGTGTCTTGGTTTTAAAGGTACCCCCCAAAAATATTATATATATATACATTGGCGGTGTTCCTTTGGGTTTGCTTAAACAAGAAAAGGGGTACCAACTCCCAAACAGGACCCACACCCAATATGCATCAACTCTTTTTCGATGCGGCAATGTGCATCTTCAGGTTCCATGGGGAGGACCAGAGCGTGGATACCTTCTGTGAAGAGGATATTCTGGAACCATGGCGGGAGGCCAAGGTGAACTTGCTGATCGCGGGCTTCAGAGGCTATGGTTTCTCTACTGGCACTAGCTCGCACTATCACCTGTGACTCGGCTACGATTTTTCTCCTTGACAGAATTGAGTCGTAATCAAAATCTGGTATCAACATGGTCTACCCAGAGCCATGTAAAGCATTGAAAAGCCGGCTGCGTCCACTTGTGGTCTTTATTATTTCTTACTAACCTTCATCTACCCGGGCTTTGATTGCGGTTCAAGTGCTGCAGAACACAAGCTGGGCATTTGACATGCCATGCTTTCTGGAACTGCGACTTGAGCCTCTCAACATACGTTGATGATTGGCAAGTCCTTTTGGACCAGAGCAGACGTGGCATCATGTGCTTGTGGCAGGCCACACAAAGCGGGCTGCGCACAATGTGTTGCTATTAT